GTATATGTATGGAGATATTGAACAAAGATGGATTTTTGGTCATGGCAAGACCTCATTTGCATATTCTGAGTTAATTAATGGTTCGATCGTTTCGGGAATGGTTTTATCTTAATCCTTACCTTTGAAAACATAGGTACGGACACTAAGTGTATGTTGGTATCATGCATATTTAAGGAGTTATTGGCAAAAAATGAAATTTCGGTAATGGCGGCCTTAATTTGCATATTACACCACATAGGGGGAGTTTGCAAATCTGCCAACATTGGTTTTTTTGCATAAAGGGGTATCATATGTATAATCCCTAAAAGTTTCAAAGATTGTATCCGAAAATGCATATGGTTTCCACTGTACACTAGACTATACACCCCGATACATTTATCTTGCGTTATCATGCAATGTCCACGTTTAGGATTCATATATCATAGTTGATTAATGGTATTTACTACTATTATGAATACTAAGTGGTAACAACTCACAAAGCTCATCCTGGTGGTAATTAAACACGTCTATCGGTTCCAGCGAGCGAACAGCACACACCCTTTTCCTGAAGCTACAAGAGCACGGAGCAGCTCGGAATCGACAAAACACGTCGCTTCTACGTCAGTCGGGTTTCGCTGCTATTGATTGCTCTAGCTTTCGCTGCTTTCGGCTTTAGCGGGTAGTCTAGCCTCAGTTCAATACTCACTGAACTAATTTAAGCCAGGCGTGCTGGAAATTTCCGTAGAAGCTAGGTCATAGTGGGCTGCGTGGTTGGTTGGTTATTCTGGGCATAACATCGCGTGGTGCGTGCACGCGTGGTTATCGTTGCACGTCCGTCACGCTGGAGTGTTCTGTATTCTCTGTGCTTGATCGTGGTGTTCGTGCGTACGTGGGCGTGTGTGTGCGTGTGTGTATGTGCTGAGCGAGCGTGTGTGTGCGTGCGCGAGCGTGTGTGCGTGCGTGAGCGTGTGTGTGCGTGCGCGAGCGTGTGTGTGTGCGTGCGCGAGCGTGTGTGTGTGTGTGCGCGAGCGTGTGCGTGCGTGCGCGAGCGTGTGTGTGCGTGCGCGAGCGTTTATTCCCTGCTGTCTCTAAAATGGAAACGCATTTATTTCATTGCTATTTTTTAAACTTGCTACATTATAAATTATCAATACACAATTTCCCCATTTTCATTGCTTTAATTGCTTGTACAATGTATTTAGAGGTTAATATTCCTCCTTGTGCATATACATGTAGTTAGATGTGCATTAATTAAACATGAATCAATATATATGCTTTGCAAGTTAATTACATGTATGTCTGAGTGTGCATTTCTGTTGTATTAGAATTAAGAAATCCAGAGAGCAAAAATACATCCATAAACTAGACAGAGGGCACTCACGGAGAGTGCATACCTCCGCGAGCATGTAACATGTATGTGCTCGCTGGTGGCGGCTGCTGACTGACTCGCCTGCTGCTGACTCGCCACTCGCTGACTCGACGCGCTATCGATTCGCCGCTCACTGGTGGCTGCTGCTGACTCGCCACTCGCTGACTCGACGCGCTATCGATTCGCCGCTCACTGGTAGCTGCTGCTGACTCGCCATTCGCTGACTGGACGCGCGTACATGTGTATAACAGCTGGCTCGCTGCTGACTGCTGCTGTCTGGTCGCCCTAAGGTGAGCTGCTGCTGACTGGACGCCCTAAGGCGAGCTGGTGCTGAATCGACCGATCGGTTGAGCGTGTGTATAACAGCTGGCTCGCTGCTGGCTACACACGCACACGAACACACACACGCGAGCGATTGCATGACCTCCGTTTGCAACGCGGAGGTAATAAATGATATGACCGAGACTGACTGAACTGACTAGCTGCAGTTAACTGAAGAACTGACCGACACTGCATATCTACCTAAAATACCCTACAATGAATATCATACACACACGTAAAAATCCAAAAAAACAAAAAGCACAGGCAGATAGTCGATCGGTTCAGTACAGAAAACAAACGCACGCACAATTTTACATAGCTTATGATATATATATATATATATACAGGCCCGTAGCCAGGTGGGGTTCGGGGGGTTCGAACGAACCCCCCCCCTACCCCAAGCAAAAAAAAATATTTGTTGAAAATTTGCAAGAATTTCACCTCAGGTCGCTCCATTTTAGTGTAATAATTGCAAAATCTCCATCGTGCAGGAGGGTGAACAGTGAACACCCCCCTCCTACACCCTCCCCCCGCTCGGTCGCTTGGCTCCCTTGCCTGGTCGCTTCGCGCCCGAGAAGGGGCGTGTACAGAGGGGGTCCAGGGAGATGCCGAAGCGCGCCCCCCCCTTGCTCGCGCAGAAAACGCATCCTGAGGGGGTCTGAATTTTTTGGGGGGGAGTGCGGCCTTCGGGGTGCCGCAAGCTTTGGGTTAGGCGTTAGACCCGCCCCCCGCCGCCTGGTAGCACTATCTTGTACAAGGCCCTGCCGAGGGCACATTGCCAAGGCATTGAAAAACAAACTCCCCGCGCCGCGCCAATAATAAATAGGGGGGGTGGGGCTAGGGGCGGGCGGGCTGGTATATATATATATATATCTATTTATTTATTTATAGCAGTAGCACCATTGTAGCACGTATGGGTTGCCACAAGAGCATGCCTGCTTGCCACACGTGCCAGGTCACGCTGTCCACCGCGGGTGTGTTGCGGTGGAGGCGCTCATCCAGGCTCACGCTAAACGTCTGACAGCGATGTTTACGGGGGGGCGGTGGGGGCGGGCGGCAACCGTTCACGCGCTAAGGCGTGACGCGCCGCGTCGGGGCGTCCGGAAGTTACGCTGGCACTGCGCGCGCGCGGGGCACTGTCGCGATCTGCATATTAAATAAGATTTAGGGCGGTAGGGGGGCGTGCGTGCGAGCCGTGTGTGTGTGTGTGTGTGTGTGTCGTGTGTGTGTGTGTGTGTGTGTGTGTGTGTGTGTGTGGGGCGTGTGTGTGTGTGTGTGGCGGGAGGAGATCTGTAGTCGCGTCTCATCGCCCGCACGATAGCATCATGCTCGTCATCGTCATCAGTCATCGTCATCGTCCATGCGGTCGTCGCAGAGCAGACGGCCGTTTTCGCGCTGCGACAGCAGCTCGGCAGCGCCCACAGGCGAGGCGGCGACATCTAAGGCGGACCCCAGATTTCGCCAGCGTTTTTGCGCGTAGCAGATTGCCGCGGCGGGCAGGCCCGCTCGGCGAGTTCGTTCAGGAGGGCCGCGTCACTTGCGGGCGGGCCGGGGGGGGGGCGGGGGGCTGCGGAAGAAACAAAAAAAAAAAACAAGGTGGGGCGCGTGATTTCAAGGGCAGCGCGAATGACGACAAGCGGTCGTTCGCTGGGTTTGGGGCTCGTTCGTTCTGCAGCACTACTGCGCAACACACAAGCACGCGCGCGGCAGGGCAGTGAGCGCTGTTAGAGTGTTGAGCTAGATGCAGCGGTAGTTCCGACTTACAGCGTGTGGCCGATATCAGGGCTGAGGAGCTGCGCGGGCGTCCGTGAATGGGTGCCTAGCTACAGAGAGAGAGAGGAGAGTAGAGAAAGAGAAGCAGAGAGATAGAGTAGATACGATGAGAGAGAGTAGATAAGAGAGCGAGGAGAGAGGAGAGGCCGCGAGAGTAGGAGAGATGGACGAGAGAGAAAGAGAAAGAGAGGGAGAGAAGAGAGAGAGAAGGCCCGCCGAGAGTACACGAGAGAGAGAGGAGAAGAGAGTAGAGAGTAGACGACGAGTAGAGAGAGAGAAAGAGAGAAAGGGAAAGAGAGAAAAAGAACGGCAGAGGGGAGCGAGAAGAGAGAGAAGAGAGTAGAGAGGGAGAGACGAGAGGGCGATAGAGTGAGAGAGAGGAGAGAGGGCGGGCGAGAAAAGAGAGAAAGAGAGAGAAGAGAGAAGAGAGAGAGAGAGAGAGAGAGAGAGAGCGGCAGAGAAGCGCGGTGCCGGAGAGAGTGAAGGACATCGTAGAGGAATCCCCTCCTGGCTTGTCGAGTGTGCTCCAGCGGGCCTTCTTTGGCCGGGGGCTTCCGCGTTTTCGCGCCACCCGCCAGCCCCAACCCGCCCGAGCGGCACTCATAGGCTGTGATATGCACTGTGTCTTATAATGTAAATAACCTGCATATTTTGTGTTAACTTGCTATAAAAGATATCTGGCTAAATAGCACTATAGGTTTAACCATAGAAAATAGTCTCTGTGGGTTTAAAATGAAGCATGGTGACCTGGCGATAGCGGGCTATGATCTTGTATAAATGTCTATTTACTGTTACGAGAAGAAAATTGTATAAACGTTATATAATGAAGATATAAATTATCTCGCAGAAGTCACATAGATATAATGTTCTATAGCCCGCTATATTACGCAAAATATTTTATTAGGTGCTTATATAAGAATATCGTGCTCTATAGGCGACTCGTATTAAGGCTAAGTTGCAATTTTAGTAAGTACTCTAGTATAATCTTCCGGCGGCCCGCAGGCCTAACCAGGTTGGACCTGTTTGGCCGGACCGTCGTTTTCGGATCGATGAAATAAGTGAGATTGTCGGGGGGCGCTGCGAGCGTATACACGCGGAACGCTAGTGTCTAGGCACACGGCGTCGGTGTGATGGGGGATGGCAACGTCTGCTGTCCAGAGCTGGGCCGGACACAGGCCTCTGTCCAGGCTGAGCACACTCTCTGGACACAGCCTAGGCCGTCCCCACGGGCAGTGCAGATGTGTTAGCTAGCGGGCAGCGAAGCCGGTGGAGACGAGAGAGAGTAGAGAGCGGTGGGGCGCCAGGGGAGAAGACACACCGCGCGGCAAGCAGCCCACACGCGCTGACGCTAACCCGCGCGCGGCAGCCGCACAGCACAACACAGCAGCTAGGCCACTCCGGCGTCGCGGCGGCGCAGCACACGACATACACAGCAGGCACAGTCACCACGACACGGCGGCGCGGCAGCAACAGCAGACCAATACAGCCACAGCAGAAACACACGGCGGCGCGCGGCAGCGGGCGGGAAACAGCGCCCGACACCAAGGCACGGCTCTCGGCATCCGCCACAGCAGCACAGCACAACACCCCACACACGACACACACACACACACACACACACAGGAAAAACCCAAAAAACACACAGCACACACACAGCAGCACAGAGCCACACACCCCAAGCCACCAGCATATCGTCGACACATATATTGGGGTGGGCAGCCAGTGTGTGTGGTAACTGTAAAATAGGCTATCTAATTCAGGCAGGCACCGACACTACGCGCGCAACGACCCAGGACACAGGCCACACACACAGCCGCACGCCACGGGCCGCGCGAGCACAGGCACAGACACACACTCGCACACACCACCACCACACACAGCGACAGCAGCACACCGATCGCACAGCAACAAGCACAGCAAACCCCACTGGCACACACACAGCAACACGCTGGGCAACACAGAGCACACAATACATCAGCACACAGCACACACAAACAGTAAAACACACACAGCACAGCGGAGCACAGCACCCACACACACACACACACACACACGACACAACGCAACACACATGTTTTGNTTATCTCCAGAGTCACATAGAAAATGTTCTATAGCCCTATATACAAAATATTTTATAGTCTTATATAGAATATCGTCTCTATAGCGACTCTATTAGCTACAGTTCAATTTTATAGAAGACTCTATATATCTTCCCCGCAGGCTAACCAGGTTGGACTGTTGCCGGCCGTCGTTTTCGGTCGATGAAAAATGAGTTGTCGCCTTGCGACCTTAACACGGGAACCTATGTCTAGCACACACACTCTCTGTCAGCTGCCGACACACTCTCTGTCAGCTGACACACTC